CACATGTGCCACAAACTAGCTAGATACGGGAAAGTGGAATTCCGACGGATGTACAGGTACTATTTTGGGACCTTGGGAGAATTTTGTGTTGCTCTTGTAGGTAATGGGACGATAGATGGCCGTAGGCTGCAGACGGAGACTATTTAACTCAGGGAGCATGGCTAGAGCTTCCCTTTTCGAGCACGAAGACTCGCGAGAGTCGCCCTCCTGAGGATGCCCGGTGGACGGGCGAAACCGGTCGAGGGATCCACATGCTGCTCCTTTGTGATTCCATGGATGTTTTGCATCTGTTTTGAACTATCTCTCTGCGTGTGTTTAATGCTTTGCTTAACTTTGTCATGGATTACACGAGCTGTTTGGCCGCAGTTCGCCACTCTTAGGCTCGTAGTAACCGCTAGTTGTTTCGCGCTAGGTGGTGGCTGCGTCAACGATCTCGGATCTCGGACCTCCGATCTCGGACCTCGGATCTCGGATTTCTGATCTCGGACCTCCTCGGTCTCGGATCTCGGATCTCGGATCACGCTCGGATACTGGCTCTAGCTTGGATCCCGTATCTCGGATCGCGGAGTCGGAGCTCGAAGCACGTATCGTAATCGGTACTTCGCATTCGGGAATGTGCTATGTCTTCTGATGATAGAACGGAGAAGTTGGTGGCTTCACGCTAGCAGGCAATATGCGGCTGTGGTGAAAGTCTCAGATTTCCGAACGCTCGGGGTTCGGCTCGCATATCGGACATTGGACTGCGCGTTTTCGGGACCAGTACCGGAGTCTGTGGCTTATGACAACGAAGCGATCTGGAGGTGGACTGTACGGAAGACAGCTATCAGCAGTGGATCGACAGCTTAAGGACGTACGTCGGAGGGCGATGAAGAAAGGATTGAAACATATTCAAGTCATTCTGTATGGTATCGGTGTTATGCTTGTGGGAATTGGCATGATCCTGGTGGGGGCCGGACTCTAGAGATGTCGGCGTCGTGCGCAGGTTGCGGTGGGACTGGGGGTAGACCGAGAAGATATATGACGGTGCGAGCAAGGTTGATTCGAGCTCTAGAAGTCTGGAAGATTACGTTAGGAATACGGTAGAGCCGATGCACTTTATTATTGGTCTCGTTACGGAAGAGCTTTTACGAGACGCGTTGTATGACACATTGATGAGTCTACTTACTAAGATCGAAACGACGATACTCGTACTTAGGACACGGAGAAGAGAGAGGTATCGGGAGATAATTGAGATCTGGAGAGAATAGAGGAGACCATTTAGATATGCAAGAAGGCCGAGACGAAACGCACTAGCTATAGGTGGAGGTCCGGATACGTACTGAACGTCTCAACGATTCGACGAAGGTTAGTAGGTGTTCTAAGTAGGTAATCCAGGCGAGGAAACAAGGAAAGATAGAACCAGCGGAGACGGAAAACCCCGCCGCGATGTTTCTCACGAATGGCCCCCAGGGGGCAACCAAGGTAATGGGGGGAACGCGCAAAACCTCGGGAATGGTCAAGGTTATGGCAGCGGAGGAGGTCACAGGGGAGGCGGGGGAGGATCCGGGGGAGGTGGTGTCATATGCTATAACTGTGGTAAACCCGGGCATTACGTCCGGGATTGCTGGTCCCGTAGGGGTAGGAATGACAGGACGCAAAACGAGGATCCGGAACTGGAGGAGATGAAGGAACATTTTCGCCAGATTAGGAAGGAGTGACAGGAGCTCGAAGAGAAACAGAGGTTAGAAGTGGATAAGAAGAGGAGAGAGGAGGAAGAGCTCAATAGAACGCAATATTTCGCTCGGAAAGCGGAAGAATTTAGGTTGCAGCAACAAGCAGAGCTGATGGAGGAGTCGAGGGAGAATAACGCCGAGGCGGACAAAGCGATCACAATGATCAAGGGGTTAGGAAAGAAACCGAAGAAGAAGAAAAGCAGCGGTGGGAATGGCTCTACGAGAAACAGAAGAAACAGGCGAGGAAAGAAGAACAATGGGACGCCTAGCGAAGGGACAAATATGGATAGCAGTTCGGAAGATGAGTCTACTGACACTTTGACCTCGGTGTCGGAGGACAGTGGAAGGATCATGCATCGTGACTCTTCGGATAAAAGAGTTACCAGGAAACACAAGAGGAAAGCCAGCAAGCGGAAAGCGAAGGGGAAGGCCCATATTGAAGTAACACCACCTAAGAGGTTTGAAAGAGGCGAGAGTTCGAGACAGAGGAAGGAGACGTACAACGAGAAGATGAAACACAGAGAGAAGGATGGAGACCGAGAAACCGAACCAGTAACACCTCTGACGGGGGGACACAAGAGATTAGTTGCAGGCTGTTTCCAGAAGGGACTAATTGAGTACTGTATCTCGACGCATAAGATTTGCTCTGCCAAGAAGGCAGACGTATTAAAAAAGTTATGCGAGAGGAAGGGAATCAAGTACACCAAGAAGCCGGAAGCGGTCGCGCTACTGGCTAGATACCAAGTGGAGCTGGCGTATGATGGCTTTGAGGTTACTCGACATACAGAGAACAAGAATGCAGGTGAGAAGACCAAGGCATCCCGATCACCAAGGAAGGAGTTTACTAAAGACCGAACGACGATGGAGAGACCGACCGTGAAGCAAGTTCCGGTTATCATACGTTCGGCACCAGTTCAACCGGCGGATGACTGTGAATGACGTTTAAAGGTACCATCCAACTTCGTGCTGTGGGATACACTGTGTCGAGGACTACAGAGGAGGGCTAAGCTAAGAGAATTGAATGTGA